TACTTAATTTTAAATCATTTTGAGCCTTTACATATTACTTATAGTATTTACTTTTAAAAAGTATAGTATTTACCTTTTTTTATTGTTAATTTTTATCATATTAAAAAATCCTAATATTACAATGTCAAGGATATAATAGTTTTTAAATTAGTAAAATAATTAAAGAAAAATGTTCTTATAAGTTAAAAGTATTTTTAAACTTGTATTACATAAATACTTTAAATAATATTACATATAATAACATAAAGGTACTTAATATTATTAAAGTTTTATATCGTTTTGAGCCTTTACATATTATTTAATTATGATTTATACAATTCCAATAAATTGTGTCACACTGTGTCGATTCATATAGGCATTATTTATTATTACTTAATTTTAAATCATTTTGAGCCTTTACATATTACTTATAGTATTTACTTTTAAAAAGTACAGTATTTACCTTTTTTTATTGTAAATTTTTATGATATTAAAAAATCCTAATATTACAATGTCAAGGTTATAATAGTTTTTAAATTAGTAAAATAATTAAAGAAAAATGTTCTTATAAGTTAAAAGTATTTTTAAACTTGTATTACATAAATACTTTAAATAATATTACATAAGCAACATTGTATTAATTTTAATTTATAATTTATTTATGAATAAGTAAATTCTTAATTTTTATTATTTCTTTGTTATTAAATAAATAATTTTAAATGTTTTAACTTTTTAATAAAAATATATATTTATTTATTTTAAAAAATAATTATTTATTAATTTATTTGATTATTTTATTTTTGTGCATATATTGTTTATTATTTATTATTCCTTATCCTTACTTTCACTCTGTGAAATGTATAATGAAAACAAGATATAATGGTATAATATCTCAAAAATGTTCAACACATCTTATGTTTATTGAAAAACGTATTCAAAAAGCATCCTAAAATCTTTAATAACATCCTCTGAAAAAATAATATAAAAGGATAATATATGAGAAGTGGATTAGGCCTAATGGGGAAACCACTATAAAAAAAACGCATCATACTATCTACCGCAAGGTGATGTGGAAATGATAGTGTTTTCATACTGTCATTTTCTTGATATAGAAAAGATAAAAGAAAATTATTTTTTAATATATGATTTTACGTTACAAGCTACTCACATGATCATTTATTTTTAATATAAGTGATTACTCATTTTGACTACTTATGTATATATTTTTTTTAATAATGTCAAATGCTGATAGCGCGTGCGTAGCGCGCGCCTGTATTGTTCTAGTTTATAAAGAAAAGAGGACCGCCGATAAAATCGGCGGGGGTGGTGTGGAGGGCCTCTCTAACTCGTTTGTACTAATTACTAATAACTATATATTTAGTATGAACGGGTTCAGTTAACATAAAGAAAACAACCTCCTAATTCCATTTTTATACAGACACGTATTATAAAACAAAATTCGTGAAATTAATTTGTTTGAATATTTGATTTCAAGTTTCTTAAAAGTCAGCAATTTTCATTTCTCTGTTAAAAGATATACAAAATTCAAAATTTTATTTACATTAATAAATTTTGTATTAGTATTTTTCTGATTTCTCATATACATATATACGTTTCTTTTCAAGAATAGATGATCTGAGAATCACTCTGTTCTGCAACCATTGAAAAGCCTTGTCGACCGATAAAATATCGGCCTAGTGGGTGCAGTGTTCAACAGAGAATGCCGCTTTGCAATTATTATAAAATTCGTGTTTTGTGTGCACCAGTTCGTATTTTTTCCTTTTTTCTCTAGAAGAATAGAAAAGGTAAAATGATGAACTGGTGCAAAAGTTCAACCAAAAAGAACTGATTCTGACTTGGTCTCAGTCACATCGATTGGTTGTCTGCTTTGTTTGGCTAACGGATTGACAATCATGGACTTAGGGAAGATACAAACCAAAAAATCATGGACATAGGGAAGAATCGAACCAAAAAATTGTGGACATTGCCGACACGATCGTGGACATTGGCTACATAGTTCAATGTCCACGTTTTGTGGACATAAAGGCGCTTCAAAATAAAGTAACAGTTAAATCCCGGGCATGGCCGCTCTCAAGTTTCGTTGAACCACCCGACCGGTGCGGACGCGTTTCGGTTCGGGTGTTCGTTTTTTGTATATTTTTGAGAAAGTGTTGCCGACTTTGACCGTGCCTCGAATTTCCTTACTGATGTGTGTCCGCGTTTGGCTCGGCTCGTTCGTCCGTCCGGACGCGCGTTAAAGTGGCGTGACGACGTTGCAATCGCAGGCGCCCTGTGTTCGTTCGGGCTTCGCCATTTTTCGCGGGCATTGCATCATTCTTCGTTTACATATTACGACTTTGTTTCGTTTACACATTACGACTTTTGTTACTGGCCTTGACGATTGCCGTTGGAGCGGCTACATGGCCAATAAGAATACAAAGAAGAAGAAGAAGACCGCTCTCAGGTTTCTCTCTGTGCATAGTCTGATTTCGGCTCGACGTGTCCAACTTGAAATTGCCAACTTCGAATATGCCGATTGATTTTCGGGATGATTAGAGAGACAGGAGTGCTCTTGGGACTTTGAAAATTCCCTATCCGATTAGCCAATCAGCACGTTTGAAAAATCTTGGCATCCTGCATCGCTCATATGTACATCTGCGCGTACAATTGATCAGTATTGAGCATACATGGCGCGTTTGAAAAATATCGGACAACGTATTTGGCATCATAGAAATCAAAGAAATATAATATATTGTATAATTAATAAATTTGTACAGGCCAAAGTTATGAGCGATTTTAATTCGATAAGATGTTGATCTAATAAATTCATAACCTGTTAGTATTGGTTAATTTGTACATTTATTTCTAAACGAAATGGTCAAATGTGCTTATTTTTTATCGCGTAAAACGTCATTAGTACTTTGCCAGCCCAGATGTTCAAGATTAAACATGATACGGAAGTTTGTGGATGACAGACCAGCTATTATTCTAGGAATCGAAACGAGCTGCGACGATACAGGATGCGGAATCGTAGATACCACAGGAAAGATATTAGGCGAGGCGATAAATTCGCAACATCTTACTCATTTAAAGTAATCACGTACTATCTATGAAGTCAATGTAAATTCAATACACAACTACTTGAAAAATTTTGTAACTAGATTTATCAAATTCATATAATATATCCTTAGTATTTATTTTATTATCTAATGTACATGAATTCACTTGTATGTTGTAAGATAACATTAAATTACTACTTAAAAACAAATCTACAATAAAAATTGTTAAAAATTTTTCTAGTAAATTGTAATTGTGTCCTCATTTATAGACACGGTGGCATAATACCTGCAATTGCCGGTAAAATGCATAGACAACATATTACTACAGTTTGTGAAGATGCACTAAGATCGGCAAATTTAAGATTAAGAAATATAGATGCTATTGCAACTACTACAAAACCGGGTCTTCCGTTATCGCTTGCTGTTGGAAATGAGTTTGGCAAATATCTCTGTAGGATTGGTAACAAACCATATATACCGATACATCATATGGAAGCTCATGCATTAACTGTACGAATAGAGCAGAAAGTATGTCAGAACTAATTACATGTATAAAACGCAAATATGACGTCAAACATAAAGAAATTCATATATATATATCTTATAGGTAGACTTTCCTTATCTTGTTTTACTTGTATCAGGTGGCCATAGTTTATTAGCAATTGTTGAAAATGTTGATAAATTTTATACACTGGGTACTACATTAGATAATGCGCCTGGTGAAATTTTGGACAAGGTATATCTTCAAGTTTTTGTTTATCGTATTTGTTTAATTATAAATTATTTGGTTTAAAATTTTGTTTTCAAAAATTATCAACAAAATTTTATGAAAGAACTCGTAACATAAAAAATAAAAACTATGAAATATATAACGATAGATTTGTTTTAAACTTTGCAGATTGCTCGTAGGCTTAAACTTGCAAATATGCCAGAATTCTCACATATGAACGGTGGTCAGGCGATAGAAAATGCAGCAAGTAAAGCGTCAAATCCAACTAAATTCTTTTTTGAGCCTGTCTTGACAAAAAAAAGAGATTGTCAATTTAGTTTTGCAGGTATATCGAACAAAATTTTTAAATATCTCAATACAGAAACTTTTGATATTGACGACGTGTATAATTTTTGCGCTGCCGTACAATTGTCTTTCGCAAAACACATATGTCTCAGAACGCAAAGAGCAATGGAATTTATTAACAATATGAATTTGATATCGCAAGAGAAGCGAACTTTGGTATGTTCTAAGATTATGTTCATTAATTTTCGACTTTGCTTTGTTTTACATATTTGTTTAAATATAGGTAGTATCTGGCGGAGTGGCTTGCAACAATTTCTTAGCAAAGACTTTAGAAATTGTTTGCTTAGAAAGAGGCTTTAAATTCGTTAGAACTCCACCTCGTTTATGCAATGATAATGGTGTAATGATAGCATGGAACGGAGCAGAAAAGTGGATGACAAACATAAACGTTCTCCGAGATAGAGAAGAAATCGAAATGGTATCCATCGAGAAAAACGCGTCGTTCGGAGAAAGTTGGATTGAAAGAGTACAAGAAGCAAACATAAAATGTAAATTAGTGAAATTAAATAGACTTTAAACAAACACAAATTTTTATGCAGTCATTTTGTACTCCTACGATAAAATTTTATTTTTAAAAGTTTAAATCTGCATATTTTTCGATCATTATATATATATAAAATATTAACAATGGCATTAGCATTATTTACAAAATATTTATTTTTCTATAAATTTATACAACAGTTGGTGTGTGTTCTTCAAATTGTCGATTTATCCTCTCCATTAACTGGGATTCCAAGTTACTATATTCAAAAGCATGTTTCTTCTCTTCGTACTTATCTAATATATTTCGTAGCTTGCCTTTGACCGTTTTTATCATATTTTTGTCTTTTGAAATTAAGGATATCGGTAAAATACTATCAAAACATATCACCTGTTCAGGTTGTATTTCCTCTGGACATGTAGATACATAGTCTGATAAGTTTCGTAGTGTTGGTTTAATTTCTTTGAGAATATTATCAGCATTATCAGTGTCCATTTTATTAATTAGAAGCACTGCTGGCATTTTTAATAAGTCTGGTTTGTAGAGTTCAATCTCCTTGTTTAATAAGACTACAGTTTCCAAGCAGGATCTATGTCCATGCTGGGATGATAATTGAAATCCTTGTATATCTACAATGAACATAAGTAGCTTTGTTCTTTCGATATGTTTTAAAAACTTGTGACCCATTCCAATATTCATGTGTGCTCCCTCAATCAGACCTGGTAAGTCTGCAACTGTAATTTGTCTCAAATCTTCATAATTGATGATTCCTAATCTGGGCCTTATAGTAGTAACTATAAAAGAAAAAGCATGACTGTAGAATCGAAATCAATGAGCAATTAATAAAATATGTAAGAAGTCTTACAGGGATAATCAGCGATTTTAGGCTTGGCATTTGAAACTGCTGCCAAAAATGTACTTTTACCAGCATTAGGAAAGCCAACTAATCCAATATCGGCAATTAGTTTCAAATCTAAGTTTATCATTTGAGATTCTCCCTTCAATCCACAGTAACCTGTGTCTTTGGAACCTCCTGAACCACCTTTGGCTACTAATAATTTTGAATCCTCGTTGTTTAAGTCTCCTATAAAATTTTAACAAAAGAAAGTAACGATAATTGCACAACTTTGAACAAAAAGTTTTAAAAATTATACCTACCTAACAATACTCCATTCTGGTTATATACTAAAATACCACGTGGAACTGAAATAATCTTATCTTGACCAGGTGAACCTATAATTCCTCTTGCTGAACTGTCACTTCCACAATCTGCGACGACTCGTTTGGTCTTTAAAGTCTGAGCAACACTCTCTAATGTTAGTTTGTCTTTTGCAACTAAATATATATTACCCCCTGCACCTCCCATCCCTCCATAACGAGATAATCCGCTACCTCCTGTACCTCCCCTAACATGAAGACGCAGCGTGTCAATGAATCTGGAACGTAGATATTTTCTCGGTGGCTATGATTAAACAAAAAGATTCCTATATTAGTTAATGCATATAATTATAACCTTGTAATATTTAATTCAATAAGATCTACTCACCTTTTTCACGGAAGCTAAAACTACTTGTGTCCAAAATACCATTGTATAGGAGTTATATTCTATTTTACTATGTTACTTGTGTTTATTACAGCGAATATACCAAACGCGCTATTTTATTTACTGAGTTTGTCGATCGATCGATACATGAATTGAAAGGTTGGCAAAATTGTTTCCAGATGGCGTCTTAATCTTCATCTCTAGCGCGCGCTAGCTAGAAGCTACAAATCCTTAAAGTTTAAAAATAATTGATAAGACATTACATTATTGTTGCAAAATATTTTATATGTCATGCGAGAAACTAAGAGATATTTCTTTGAACATTTAGATGGCGATTAAGTTAGAATTTATAAAGTGTGCGACACGACAATGAAAACGAGGTATGTATACTTTGTATAGCTTGTACAACATATCATATATTTGTTATTTTGCGATGCCAATATCGTATATCATTCCGAAAACATCTGTTTGTTTATTTAAGTCTGCGTGTAAATAGTGTATCGTTGCTCGATATACAGGGTGTTCCAATTTTTCCGAGTAGTCATAAATAATTAATTTTTTAACCTTAAATTTTTCTATCTATTTTTTACTATAATAAATGTACCTTTTGTAATTTTTGAAAATATAATAGAACATATCTATAATAATACAAAATGCTATAAAAATATAAAATGTAATATCCTTCTTTATCTCTATTCGTATGTCTATACTAAATTAATAAAAATTCCAAGAATTTTTCCCATTTCTAGGAATTGTAATTCCGAGAATTTGGAATTTAACATCGCGATTTTTTAATAGTTATTATTAAGTCCTTCATAATATTTTAAAGACATTTCAATAAATCATCTTCGAAAAATCTTGTAATCACGCGTGTTATGTGAGTATAACGTACAGATATATAGCTCTATAACTTATTATTTAGTTTCCTACTTCGAAATAAACTGCGTAATGCTGAAATAGACGCGACGGAAGTCTATTACTTGTCGCGGCATAAATATTTCATTGACGCAAACATGATATATAATATTTTTATTTAGACAAGTATAGAACATAAAACACTTTATAAATATTTTAAACACATTACAGTATTGAAAAAAGTAATTGCAAATATAAGAATAAAATTATGAATCAGTAGGTATAAAAAAAGAGATAATTATTCAAGTAGGTGTATATCATATTAAGTCCAATTCGCGATCTTGATCAAATTACAATCGCAATAAAGTAATAAAAGTTGCATGAAAATAATAAATGAAATAAAAGATCTCTCTTTAACATTAACAAATTAATTAACAACAATTTTATTTATATAAATGTGCATACTTTGTCCAACTATGCTTCGTTATAAGAGCTTTTCTGATCCTTTATTTTTTCCTTTAGATTTTCTTTTAAAAACGACTTGCACGAGAGACAAATAATATATATGCGACTTGAGGGAAGTGAATCGCAGTTTGCAAACAGTTTTCCATGAGCTAAACGAAGTCGTGATGCATATTTTAAGGTCAAGTGGAATCAATTATGAGGAGCGTGGTCGATCAATCGAGTGGAGAGACGAGACGAGGGCCGGAGATCTTCTCTCTTCTCGATGAAACGCGGGGATTCGTCGAACAGCGGAGGCGCGTACGCGAAGCGAAGCGTTAAAATTAAATCTAGCCAGAGGCCGACGTCTACGTCGTCTACGACGGTGAGTCCTCTCGAGCTCAGTCTCAAGAGCATCCCCCGGCTGCACGGATGCATTCCGGTCGCCGGTCAAATTAGCATCCCCCGCCGCGATTTTCTCTCTTTTTCCGTAAACCATCCTCTCTTTGTGCGACGCGCACCCGAAAATCTCCACCGAAAGTTCGAAATCGCGCGAACTCAAAACTCTCGACCACTCTCACCTAAGAATTTTCTCGAGGTAATCCTTTGTCGTTCAAGATTCGCGTTTGCAAGTTTAGAATAACTATAGGATTTTTCGTCCCTTTATTCATTACACACAGCGCGTCAATTTTATCGTAGAACTTTTCTCGTTATTTATATATATAATAAACTATTATATTTTCTGCGAAGACTATGACATTTCGTGTTGATGTCGTCTTCAGCGTGCATACTTAGAAAGGTCAATTAAAGTCTGAGATAATGCAGATTTTTGATTTTTGCAATACACCAATTAGAATTAAGAATGTCATGTAGGATTAGTGGGAGACTTCGTGAAATTTAAATGTCAATATCATATATATCGTTCGCTGTTCGATCGCAGTCTTTCGAAAGGGGAACGCTGGAAGACACATACCTACTGTATATTTTTCAATGTTTTGATTAGATTGGAATTTGCGTAATTTAAGTATGCGTTATCGATTCCGTTTATACACATCGGATTTATTTTACAAGAGAAAATCTCATATTTGAAAAAATAATAAAAATGCACATGCTGTATTCTTCAAGCTCTGCGCGTACAAAAATAATGATATAAATGCTTGGAATTGAAGTCTACAGCCTAAATCAAATGTAGAATTGATTTGGCGAAGTAATCGTCAGATTTTTCATCGTCTGATTGTTCCTGAATGGTAGTAGGATTAGAAGAGCAGGCATGTGTGAGAGGAGTATGTCATCGGGTTACTAGCCTTGATCATTGGCCAAATACTTGACAGGGAGTAGCGTTGTCACGTTACTTGTGCTAATTTTACGTACACCACATACGACGCAGAAAATTAGGAAAATTGACAATAACGGCAATTATGCAAATTCGAAAAACACACACGCATCTGCGAAAGAAGCGCGCCAGTCAATTTCATTACTTCATTATTATTTTTTGCTTTACATCAATTTTTTTAATTGATCTATCTAGCCCTGAATATTTTAGTTTATTGTAGTTTTGAGGATTGAGAATCTTTTCAATTCTTTGAATTATTATATTTTCGTTCGTTCATCTCTCTAATAGAATCTCTTACTCCTAAATGAAAAAGACAAACTGAACTTTGCGATTTAAAATTCGCGTTTCCGATAGAATGATGGAACGAGAGGATGAGGACTTTGGCGAGGGCTACATCGCGGAGTCGCACCCGCTGAGACCGACGCATCTCACTGTACCACTCGGAGGACGCGCTGATTCGCGTGCACCCAGCATCAGCAGCAGCGTCAGCGATCTCGATGTTCCAATATACACCAGAGAGACTACCATACCTCTCTCCGCGAGGAAGGTAAAGCTGTCATCGCGATGCTTGTTGCTTCGAACAAAATTAAATATACCTAAAATTAAATTTGTTTGATCTCGAGATTGAACACTCATTAAAAATCGAAATCCAATCAAAACAAAGTGATTTACGGCAACAGTACAAGTACCACGAATTCTTTTTCTTATAGAAATGCTTTAATCATTTTCAAAGCGGTCGACGTAAGAATTGCGTAAGCAAAGGTGGGAACTAATATATCAGTTAATTGGAGGGTCTCAAAAATACATGGCTTGCTCTTTATATCGAAAGATGTCGCAGCAATGGTTGCGCTGACTTGCGCTGTCAGTCG